ACAGCATCCTCCTTGCCACCAGCAGGTGCGTCGACAGCATCCTGAAAGTCCTCGTTCTGACTTTCGTCCGCATCTTCAGGTAAATCCGAGCTTGGGAGTAGAACCTCAACTGCAGATTTTGGTGGAGTTGAGTCCTTCGTTTCCGTAGAAGCGGGGACGGTCTCTTCCTTGGGGCTCTCTTTGCTCGTCTGGTTTCCGGAGGAAAGATATTGACCGTAGGGGACCTCCGCTTCACTCGACTTCTTCTCTTTAACTCCATTGGCTTCATCCACCGCCTTGACCCCATTTTCAGTTTTCCCATTTGGTTTTTCAGTCTGGCTCTGGAGCGATGAAGGTCGGCTGCTTGGGCTCCCGTTAAGCTTGGCAATCTCAAACCCGTCAGCCCTTGGGCTCGAGAGAGGAGAAAACCTGTCCGACCTCGGGCTAGCAAGTGGAGACCCGTTTTCCCAGACGCCATTGACCAAACTCCTGCTACCTCTTGCCGAATTCCTCGGTGGCAGAGGTGGTGTTGGTCTTGGTGGGATGGTGACAACATTTCCTCGCGCCTTGACAACGTTGATGTGGGTTGGGCGATGTGTTGCTGCCGCCGCCTCGAAAACCACGGGTTCGTCGTCATCCAAGCCGTCGTCTGAATAATTGTCGGCATCGCTGTCACCGTGCTTCTCAGAGCCTTCGTGGTTTTGGGGTTCGGTACGCTTCTCAGACCTTTCTTGGTGCTGGGGTTCCACATGCTTCACGGACGCTTCCTGGTGTTTTGGTTCGGCATGCTTCTCAGCCCCTTCATGGTGTTGAGATTCGGGCGATTCTTGCTCTGTTATGGTCGTGCCGCTCCCATTGAACTCAGAAGCATGGTTTGGGCTTTTGAATCCGCTGTATGGTCCGAGATCAATTTGTGTGTAGTCAACATCCGGTGGTTCTAGGTCAACCTTCTCCACAGGGGTATCAGCCGCTTCGATTGGAGTCTTTGCATGCACGCTAGACGAGTCATCCGCGTCTGTTTGTGTACCCATTGAAATACTTCGGACAGTTCGTAAGCTAGTTCTTTTCGAGTTGCTCATATAGCTGGCTCGACTGCCTGCCCCGTTTGTGTCCATACTCAACCGGTTTAGGTGTGGAAATATCGGACTGGTTGGACTCGGCTTGTATTCAAACTGTGAGCTACTCGGTCGGGAGTGGCTTCCTGCCTCTTTGATCTCCATCCCGGCCTGCTCTAAAGCAAAGACGCCGAATGGATCGGGGTCATCTGGTTCGGGGATTCCGAAAACAGTTGTTGACTCGACATCGACATCTCCTGGGGCGGGTTGACCTTCCAATTCTTCCATTAAATCCTGGTCGTAGTCTGATCGGCCCTCCGCCAACTTTAGTGTCTCCAAGAGCATTTTCGTTTCCCTGGGTACGAATCTGACCTTTCCGGCCAATATATTCGCTGCGGATATCCTCTCGCCATAGAACCTCTCATTTTCGTCTGTTCTTTCGATAATTACCGTGCCGTCTAGCTGGACCCCAGCATAGAATCCTCTCGACTTCAGGTATGTGAATACTGGCCTGTTTATCTGCTTCCATTTCCCATCACTCTCAATCACTCCACCAACTCCAACTGGCCCTGCAACAGCACTGATTTCGCCACCAACAGTTGCTCGGATTTTCGTAAACGACTCCAAGGTCTTCCTGCTGTTAATTACCACAACGCAGTCGTATATGTCGATTCCCACTAAAAATCCAATCCCTGCAGTGTGTAGCATAATCCCGGAAGGAGGTGACCATGACCCGTCTTCCAATCGCGCGACCAACACCCCAGATCCGCCCGCACCCGAAATCCAAAGACCTGTGCGCATCGTTGTGAAAATAGCCATCCCAACTGCATTCTTGACCACGTTTGGCGGGATCTTCATAAGTACTCGTTGTTTCGCGCTCTGGTTGGGACCGACTTCGCTCGGCGGCAATTTCTCTTCTTTGTAGAATCCATCCTCTGTGACCCAATGTTAGCAAACTATAAGACCATAAAACCATTTCGCCCCTCTCCTTGAATGCGCACAACACAGGTACCGGACCATGTCGGGAATTCTGTATTTGTGACCCGAGGTAAGCATGGGACTACTTACTGCAGAAACTCCTCAATATCCTCGCAGCCTTGTCACTCTCCTTGTCCAATTCAGTCGGCCAAAACGCCTCGCTGCCGATTTTGTTCGTGAACTTGTTTACCGGTGCGCCAAGTTTGTCAGCCCAACCCCAGACTTTATCGAAGCCCTGCTTGCCGCCCTTCTTTGTCCTGTCCCAGGACGGCAGCATGGAAGTAACTCTCTGCATCGCTGCCAATGGGCGCACCTACGACGTGCCCAGGAATGGCCAGACTCTTCCCTCGAGGGAGTGCGCTGCGGAAAACCTTCGCAAAAGAGGCTGAGACATCAAATTTTACTCACCCTTCCGATGCGCGCGAGTTGTGCACAGCAGTACGACTGATGATGTAGCATGAGCCGGATTTCAGAAGCTCTGTTGCGACATCCGGGCCCTCACGCCATCAAATGGTGTTTCTGTGTCCGGTGGTGTTACAGTAGGAGACAATGCGACAGGAATGAAATGTGCAACAGTAGAGCGATCTCAAAGAGAAGTAGTGGAATCACTGTCGGCAAAAGTTTGCATGGCCGCCACCTGATATTGTTCATGCGAGGCACAGTGGTTACTCGTACAGCTACTGGGTGCGGCGTCCGTGCCATCCGACGCACAGATTGGATTGGGTACAGTCGACGTCATGCCAGCCACCGCGGGGTTACTCGATTACTCTTATCACCATGGGTGCGTGCGCGTACTCTCATATTATTCATCAGCTCCCGAAATTTCCGTTTAATTTTTGATATCTGTCGAGATATATTCGTACAAATAGTTAACAACGAGGTTGAGAAATCCGCCGGTTGCAATTGCAACTTAAGGGTCTCTTGAATTTATGTCTTACAATCTTCTTAAACCCCCGGGTGGTTTAAGCCACCTCAATGGTTCCATCCAGATGTGCTTCCCGGGCATCCCGGCCCGGCACTGTTTTCGTCATTTGTATCATGACATATCCAGGCACCTCGGTTTCATGAGGTGAAACATTGTTTCAATACTTTCGCTGTGGTTTGCTGTAGTAACAGCGTTCGCCGGGATAATTGAACCTATCGGGAGAGCCATCAATTGTTCCAGGGCAATGATCACAACGATAATAATCCCGACTGTCGCCTTGTGCTTTTGCGCCGCGTTATTCATTATCCATCATTACTCCTCGTCCTGAACCAACTCCTTGATCTCGCCGTGAGGAATGATGTTTTCCCCTAGCTCTCCATTACCATTCGTGGCCGTAGGGTGAGCCGTTGCCGTATTGCGGGCCTGGTTCAGCACCACAAATCCATCCTGCATCCAGAAATCAACCTCATCGATAATATCATAGACGATATCCTCAGCGATCTGATCATCAAATCTTTCGGAGACGGGCTTCGCTTTCTTGCCCTTGGGTGGTGCTTGCTGGTCGCTCCCGACCATGTCAACCTCGTCATCATCCACATCAGATCCAGGCGGAGGGAACCAGAAGTCGGGGCCAAGGTTGATTTCCGCAGCACCCCCACGGAAAACACTGACTGCCGGATAGTAGCCCAGCATCCCATCATCCAGACCTTCTCGAGCACCCACTTGGGCCTGCGGCAACGACGCTGGAGGTAGAAATGCGAAGAGGTCCTTGAAGGCCTCGCCCATGTAGACTCCGTTTTTATAGACCTTGATGCTGGAATTTGGCAGAGTGCGCATGGCAGGTACCGGATGCGTTGCGCTTGGTTTCTGGTTTGAGCCACCGCTGCCAGTTCCTGTCGGAGCAGGATTCATCAAGTCTTCGAGCTCTTTCACTGGAAGGTAGTCGATCTGCTCGAAGTAGAGGTGGGACTTGAATCGTATGGGAACTCGGTCCCGTATGATATCGGAGACTGTGTGCTCCGGCTCATCGTCTTCCAGATCCACGGCTGGGTTATATCGTCCTTCAACAACCTTGCTGTGTAAAGATAGCGACGGAAGGTTGATCTCCAGCCCTACCACATCCCCAACCTCGATATTTTCGCCTGGTGGAAAGAATGCGGTTGGGCGCGACAGGTGGACCTTTTGACCAGTGACATCCCTAATTCCGTAACTGTAGGCATCGAATCCGCACATAGATTCCAGTGTAGCCTCCCTCCTTGCCCAGCCCACTCGTACATGCCCCTCGCTCGTTTCGCCCTGCTTTGGTATACCGCTTGTGATCTTGCATTCCCAGTAGTAGCGTCCTTCTCTCACGCATACATTTGCTTTCGCCATGCGAAAGCCTTTATCAGTAGAGACATGTCGGCCTGCCGGGTCCACAAACATATGGCCTGCCTGGTCTTCGAAATTAAGGCGTGGGGTGAAGGGCGCAGTTTCGGACTGGCGGTAGAATAGAGACGAGGGGAATTCGGGGTCGGCGATACAATGAGTATAACGATAGTTCTTTTTATTGGAGGCACTGTGGGAGACAGACA